ACTGGCCCAGCAAACCAATCACAGCACACACTGGCCCAGCTAACCAATCCAGCACACACTGGCCCAGCAAACCAATCCAGCACACACTTTTCCAGCAAACCAATCACAACACACACTGGTCCAGCAAACCAATCACAGCACACACTGGCCCAGCAAACCAATCACAACACACACTGGCCCAGCTAACCAATCACAACTAGCCCCTAGTCAGCAACAAAAACATGAACAAACACTGAACGATTGTCTTTTTATTAACTAACATTAACACAGATTAATAAATGTATTGTTCCATGTTCGTTTGTATACCGCGCTCAAGGTTTATGCGCATAGTCCAAGACTACTTCTCCATTTTTAGTGTATCTCTGTGGCAGAATTACAGCGCCACATACTGGTCTGGCATGTATACTACATCGTTTTGTGTCGGTTTCGTGTGGACGCAGATATTTCTTGAGATGAGGGGGGAAAAAAAAGATCGGATAGGGAAAGCTCTGGCTTCGTGTGGACGTAGCCTAAATGCTCAGGAAGAAGAGCGCTGGGCTTTTATGACATGAGATTAATGTAAACACAGCCCACTGTAAACACTCTTGTAATTCGCTTCAACCTTTTCAAACTTTATGAATAATTATTTTAGGTTCAAGTGGTGTGTGTGTGTGTGTGTGTGTAAGGAGCTGGAAGCAAGCAGAGTACGGCTGTTTCTAAAGCACACATCTGCTGTTAAAAACTAAGCTCAGAATCGATTCAAAAGAGAATTGCGATGCATTTGCGAAAATTGTAGAATCGATCCACAAATCGATTTATCGTTGCACCCCTATTATTTATTTTCTCTTTTTTTGTATTATCCACTCATGTGCTAGCCTAAGCATGGTGTGTTGCATCAGGTGTTGCTGCATTTCACCGGAAGCAGTGTTGTTATTGTTAACTAAAACTAAACCTATTAAAATGGTTTTGTTCATTGTAATAAGCTGAAATATGGCAACTGACTGAAATAAGTACTAAAATGACTAAAACTGAAATAAAAATACATTAAAGCTTAATGTAGAAAAACAATAATATAGGCTTAAACTAAACTTAAATGTAAATTGAGAATGTAAAAATAAGTGCAAATTCAAAATAATAAATACTGCAATATTATATAAATACTACTAAAATAACACTAACTGGAAGAGCTGTTTGGCTTTATTACAAAATGTGTTTGTTTATTTATTTAGCCCTTTTTTGCTTTCAGCTACTTCAATAGCTGTAGTATGAAATATATATTTTGGTACAATTAGTATGATTTATTTTTACTGGCTTATGTTGCAAGTAAAATACAGTGTCAGCTTTTGGAATATCGTTTGAATAGAATTCCATCGGGAGTCAACATAGAAGGGCAAAATGCTTGATAATTGAATATGCTATTCAAAGTATTTTCTTGTAAAATGTTATATATTTACTTTTAGCTGTTTCAAAATAATATTATTATTTTATAAATGATTACCTTTGACTTTGTCACAGGAGTACAAGACGTACAAAGAGAACTTTCTGAAAAGGTTCCAGCTCACCAAACTTCCTCCGTACCTCATCTTCTGCATCAAGCGATTCACCAAGAACAACTTCTTTGTGGAGAAGAACCCAACTATTGTCAACTTCCCCATCACGTATGTGACCACCAGTGCTCAGGATATACTGTATGTGACCCTGGACCACAAAACCAGTCATAAAGGGTCAATTTTTCAAAATTGAGATTTATGCATCATCTGAAAGCTGAATTAATAAGCTTTCCATTGATGTATGGTTTGTTAGGAGAGGACAATATTTGGCAGAGATACAACTTTTATAAATATGTATTTTATCTCAATATTTTTTTGTGGTTTTAGTTTTCAATTTCTCAAAAAAAAAATGTGCATCTCAAGTAATTGGATTTTGATTTCAGGATGTTTAGATATTTATATTGGAAAACAAAACAAAAATACAGAGCAGGATATTTCGTTTTTTGCAGTGCATGCAACATTTAATGTCATCACTTCATGAATTTCTGTTCCTTCATTTGTGGAAAGGCAAATAAAGACTTTAAGACCTGCAGAAACCCCCCTAAATCATGATCACCCAGCCTTATTTCACCTGATTCTTCTTTTGCAGATTTGGAAGAGACAAGATAAAGACGATGGCGCAGAAAACCATACTGGGGCATAGGAGGCCCAAAAACACAGCAGTGGTGAGATGTAAAGGAAACAAGTCATTTCTGTTCAGGCCTGAATGCAACACTCTAAGAATGAAGAGACTGAGTTACGATGAGAGAAGATGTTAAACTAAAACCCTGATGTGTATTATTTCATGTAACTGCTGAAGGTCTGTAAGGTGATTATAACACCGGTGATCTTTTGTAATTATTTCAGTTTGATTATGAATGTTAATGTGCCTTTGCAGTTTGTAGTATGAGACCTTTTATTAAAGATTCAAGACTATATACACAGTGTCTTTCATTCATTCAGCTCTGTAGAAGAACAGGTATAGTGAATAATAAGCTAGATCGAAGCCTCCAAAATTAAAATAGAACATACTTTATTTTTTATTTTTTTTATGTCGTGTCTGTTCTGTAATTTAAATGCGATGGAAATTGCAAAGAAACGTGAATGGGTTTTTCTGGGTGAAATGCATAATAGGACTTATAACACAAAGATGACACATTTTCGTTTCATTCTACCTTATTGCTTTGAGAGATTTGTTAAATGTTTTCAGCTACACTCTTAAAAATAAAGGTGCTTCAGGATGCCATAGAAGAAGCTTTTTGTCTAAATGGTTCCATAAAGAACCTTTAACATCTGAAGAACCTTTCTGTTTCACAAAAGCTTCTTTGTGGCAAAATAAGGTTCTTCAGATTACAAAAAAGGTAAGAAAGAGATGCTTCTTTAAAGAACCTTTGACTGAATGCTTCTTTGTGGAACCAAAAATGGTTCTTCTATGGCATCGCTTGAAGAACCTTTTGAAGCACCTTTATTTTTAAGAGTGTATATTAGTGAAGATAATTGTAAAAGGCTTTGACAAAAACAGAGTTTAGTATTTTACTCTGTCTAAATGCCATTAAAAAAGAAATCACAAGTGCTTTACTCTCAATGAACTGCTTACAACGCCTTAAAATGCGAATCTGTCGAGTTTATTTCTGCATCATCTCAACACAAAAACGAGGAAGCAGTGATTTTATATAATGCTACACAAAATGCACACAGTGTTAGGATCTCCTATGTTAAGTTGACTAGTTTTGTATTAAATGTTTACCCAGTGTGGCACATGAAGGTCATTTGAAACCGATTGAACGGTCATTGTCTCCACTCGTACTGTACCTCTCAAATTCCCCTCGGTTCTGTGTGTGGCAAGGGAAGAAGCTTGATCGAGTAAAGTAAAAAGGTTGTTGCTTTTCTGATCTAGTTTGATCGATCACTTTCAGTTGGGTCCCCGGCAAAGGTAATCTTCCTGTTGACAACACACATCAGAATCTCTAGAACACCTGTTCAACAGCCCCAAAGTAAAGTTATGAGTTATGAAATGAGTAGTTAGCTTATTACCTCACATGCAGTGATGGGTGCTTGTTTCCCATCACTCTTCAGGAGCCTGTGGCCATGAAGCTTCACAAACCCTTCACACTTGGACAGAAAAAGGAGAAACACTTCAGAGAGTCAGACAATTGCTTTTTTGTGAATACATGTGTCACTATCAGTGTCAGATAGTCGCTTCGCATCTTTGAATTCACATACTGATAGGAGGTGTCACCATATGCTTTTTTTTTGCTCAAATCATAGATTTTTAAAAGAATTTGGTTCCATTTCATGTGTCTTTTAACTACTGTGCAAACATTAAAATGTATAATTTAATACAGTGCACTTTTTGTGTACATACATTTTTCTCATTGTACTTAGTTTTGCAATTCCTGTATGTAATTAATACCTCTATAATTACATTGTTGACGCTTAACCCAGCATTAACCCTAACCATACCACCAAACCTGTCCCTAACCTCAATAGGGACCAAAGTGTTTTACAATACAATATGAACATTGGTGCAGTCTACCGAACAATTTCATGTAAGTTCATAGTAGTTAAAGACATCTTATATAGAGTGGAACCAAGGCTTTTTATAATGTATTGTGCTTGTGATCATTACTCGAGGAATAGCATTAGGATGGAGGTGGCACATCTTCTGGAGCAGGTCAGAGGTCTGGATCTCAGTTGCATTGTGACCCAAATGAAGCTGGGAGAGGATCGCCAGTATCTTACAGGAATCACAGTCTGTTTGCTCTGAGGACACTGGAGAGGACACATAAAATTGAGCATGATCGCAGTGTAATTTACACACAGAAAGAATGATTCTTGAAGCACAACATCAGAATATCGGTTAAATTCAGTACCACCTAGTAACAGTTTTTTGCTCCAGATTGCCTTACAGCCCACATGATGCATTTTTTTGTAATCAGCACAGACTGATGTCCATGCACACAGTTTGCATGCAGCCCGATTTGTGTCCAAGCAAACAACAGTGCATGTGCAAATGATTTGCAATAATAATAATAATAACATAAATAAAATTAGGTCATATTTTGCTGTGCTCAATGTGAAAACGGAGAAAACGCAACTATTTTAAGTCAAGTCACCTTTATTTATATAGCACTTTATACAATACAGATAGTGTCAAAGCAGCTTTACAGTGTTAAACAGGAAAAACGTGTGCTCATAATGCAAGAGGACGATAGAAAACACTAAATTTCAGTTCACTGTTGATTCAGTGATGCCATCCTCCAGCTCAGTTCAGCTCTCTTCAGATAGTATCTGTGCAATCAAGTCAACAATATTGCCAGAAATTAAGCGTCCCCAACTAAGCAAGCCAAAGGCAACAGTGGCAAAAAACCAAAACTCCATCGGTGACAGAAATGGAGAAAAGAAAAAAAAAACCTTGGGAGAAACCAGGCTCAGTCAGGGGGCCAGTTCTCCTCTGGCCAGACGAAACCAGCATTTTGTAGTTTAATTCCAGGCTGCAGCACAGGTCAGATTGTGCAGAGGACTCTTCTTGTTCTTGACTCTTCTGTTCTTGTGGTTTTGTCCCGATAGCCGTCTAGTTGACATTCAGGGCTGTAGAGGTCATCTCTAGACGCTGATCCACCATCTGTACTGGATCTGGGTAGCTATGGTGGCGATCTTGTATTAATTTGTATGAAAACGTATGATTTTTAGAAAAGCGAAAGAGTGAAGCTCTATCCCAAACCTAACCGTCAACGGGGTGTAGGCAGATTGTGCGAAAACAAACAAATGGGATTGTTCAAGTTCATACAAATTAGCCACCAATTGGCCAAAACATAAAATTATTACCAAACTTTTTTCTCTTCAATCAGTGTGTTTGTTACACACGGATGCCATTCATGCTACTTATATGACATTGGAGTCTCTGTAAAAAGCACAAAGTGTGCATGCAGTCTGGTGTTTGTATCTATGCGGGACAACAGCGCATGTGCGAGTGATCTGTGCGCTCAAAAACAAAGGGCCGACAGGTAGTGCGCAAGAAACTATTTCAATACGATTACGTTATATTTTGTAAATTGCATTTTTAACTTTGCACATCATTGCGTTGTGCTTTAGGGTTAATGGAAATGTTTGTAAAATGACTAGTTTAAGTTTAATTTATTTATAAAGCACATTTAAAACAACCTTGGTGTACAAAATTGCGTAGGTCCATCACGCAAATTAAAATAGACAATCACAAGATGTTAAAAGCACAGGAGTACACATAGGTTTTTAAAAGGCTTTTAAACTAAGGCACTGTAATGATAGATAATGGCAATTTGTTCCATAACTTGGGGCTAGCTGCATTGCAGTCTAGATCCGGGTACCCAGAAAATGACTGAATAGATAATGTCCTGGTAGCAAATTACCTGTAAAATTATTATTATTTTTTTTACAGTGCATGTGAGAGTGATTTGTCTGCTTGAAAACAAAGGTCCAATAAGTACACAAAAAAGTCCTATTTTGTAAATATCCAAACTTAGTTTTTTTTTTTTTTTTGCAATAAGACTGTGGTCACTATCCTATGGAAGCCCGTTTCCGCCACTGAATAAAAAAAAAAGAAAAGGTTATTGCAACTTTTTATCTCACAATTCTGACTTTTTTTCCCTCCAGAATTTTGAGTTTATATCTTGCAGTTCTGACTTTATAACACGCAATTGCGAGTTTATATCTCACAATTCTGAGAAAAAAAGTCAGAATTGCAAGTTTGTATCACGCAATTCTGAGAAAAATGTAAATTGCGAGATATAAACTTGCAATTGTGAGAAAAAAAGTCAGAATTATGAGATAAATAGTCGCCAATATCTTTTTTCTTTTTTTTTTATTCAGTGGCGGGAACGGGCTTCCATAGGCTATTATCCTGATCTCATGAGAAAACTCAACTATTTTATGAGGTGGAGATTTGTATTCATTTGCATGATGCAGTTCATATGAAAACATGCCATTTTTAGAATAAAGAGCAAGCATGAAGCTCCACCCCCGAAACCTAACTGTCAATAGAGTGTAGGCAGAAAACGTATGATTGTGATTGCACAAATTCATATGAATTAGCCACTAATTCACCAAAATGTAAAATATTATGTTACGAATCGCTTTAAGATTGACATTTTTATACATTTGGCAGATGCTTCTATCCAAAAGTGACTTACATTGCCTTCAAAGTACACATTTTTATTTCAGATTTCAGTTCATGCTTTCCCTGGGAGTCGAACCCATGGCCCTGGCGTTGTTAGCACCAGGCTCTAAGAAAGACTGTGTTGTGCTGCTGTCCTTCATGCTACTCACATAACAGTGGCATCTCTGGGAAGAGACACAGGCCCAGCGCAGTGCAGATGGCATGTGGAGGGAGGGAGGACAACAGCAGATCAATCAGCTGCTTTCCGTACGTTTCTACGAAGTTGTTACATGTGTGCTTATATTGTGAGGGCAAATAGTCACAGATTTTCTCCAGAAGGTTCACTATAGCCTCCTACAGGTCAGGCAAGCAAAATGGAAAATAGCCCAGGAGCAGTTTATAATCAGTTTATAGATCAATGAAATGATGAACATTTTACATTTCTTAAAATGTGAACTAGATTTCCAACAGAAGAGGTCTTACTTCAGTTCTCTCTTTTGGCAGCATGCTCTCTATTGTCTTTATGATCAACATACAGAAGTTACAGAGGGGATTGACTTGAACCTAAGAAAAAAAAAAGTACAATTTGAGTCATGGCAGTCGTATTAAATATGCATGAAATACACATCAGAACAGAGCTCTAGCTAATGTATTTTTATGACTAGTGGCATGGTCTCAAACGCTTTGTACTTTTAAAATTTTAGATGAATCATTTAAAGATACATATGAACATGAGTCTACAATTAATTTAGCCCTTTTGCCAGAATTTTCTGTGA